GAACGCCAACCTCTATGAACAGCTTGACAAAGCCGATAGACACACCCAGAATTTGTCCGAACAACAATACACTGACAAAAGGACAATTAGTAGTTTGAAGCAACAAGTATCTGACCTTGACCATAAATACCACATGCTAACACAACAGCATGACCAAGCCCAAGAGCGAATCAGAACTTTAACAAGTAAACCTCTTACCACTACCAGCTTTGATCTTTACCACAGAACAGGACAACCGTCTCCAGTCACCAACATGGTAGCCGGATCCTCTTCTTCAGATCAAGATGATAGACGAGAAGGAAGAGGTGAAAACTCAGGCGAGTACGTGCCGTCAATGACAGAAGCCCATAGACGCCACACTCAACCTCCTAGCCCCACAGGTGGACAGTCAGGTGAGTGCGCTCCACTGACTGACAGATACCAGAGATATCACATTCAAACCTCTGACACCATAGGTGAAGGAGGACGAGACTCCTCACCTCATCAGCCAAGGTCCTACATTTCACGTAGACCTACCTCTCACCATCTGCATTAAATAGCTTTAAACTTCCCTCGTTTTGACACGACGCCTGGGACGTCACACGACACCAGAGCTTACTTAAATGACGTGGAATTCTTTTTAAGCAGAGATTACCCTGAAGCTATGGTCAAAAACAAGATCTACCTAATGAAGCTTACCTCTAACTGTGAGTTTGGTAAGTTCCTTGACCGTCAGACCCCTCTCACAAAGTCCGAATGGAACCGTTTGCGTGTAGCCATTGAGCAGGAGTATTCAGACTTTTCCCATCAGACAGGACTGACTTTGGACATGACTGTCAAACAAGGGCCGAATGAAAATCCCAAAAATATTACTCCAGGCTTTTGCATGCATTTTTCAGGTCCAGAAACGATCCTGATATGGAACGTGACCCAAACTTTAAAGCTCTGTTCGCTCAGAACTTACATTTCTCTGTGAAACAACAACTAGATGTTATGGTGAACCCCAACACGACCTCTATTCAACACTTGCGTGAATACGCTTGTCTAGCTTTCCAAAACGTCAGGCAACACAGACAAACAGAGCCAAGCGCAGTCCTAGCACTGGACACAAGAGACATGGCATTAGAACTAGAAGGAGCCATGGCCAGACCTGACTCAAACAGAATCAAATCGGCCTCTTCCTCACCCAAGATGGGCCGGAAACCACAGTTCCTCCCTGACAGATCCCCACCGAACAGAGACTCGTACAGATATCCAGACTATAGACAAGGTAGACCTCCCCATAGTTCAAACTACAGAGGAGGTTACCAAGGATACAGACGTTTTCCCAACCAAAAAACAAAGGTATGAAAAACACGATTATCCTCAAAGGTCCTACCAGGACCGATGCCCATGGCGAGGGTTTGAACCCTCACCCCAACGCCGTGACCTACCTGAAAAAGGAAAACGYTCACCTAAGCCACAAGATGAAAAGCCTAAAACTCAGGATCCGATCTCTGATGACTTAGTCCAAAGAGCTATTGAAAAATACCTCAAAAAGAAGGACAAAAATAAAAAGGCAGATGTCCTCTCTATTTCTTCCAAAGAACCTGAACCTGAGTCTC